TGCAATAATCACCTTTTTTTTTTCAATTTTTCAGAAAAAAAGGCGCAACTTCTAATAAGATTGCCTATATGTTTCAATAGGCAATTTGCTCTTTTTGTAGAGTGATTCTTTAAACAAACATTTTATCATCAATTTTTATTGTCGTGACTTTTTTAGGATATAGAAAATCAGAAATGACTCCATCTCATCGGAATCTAAAAGAAATACTCAGTTTTAGTAAATTAGCGAATCATATAAAATTTAAAAAAAAATCAACACCGATATAAAATTGACAATAGCTAAAAAGAGGCAATTATGAACAAGAATTTATTCACAATTTTGTTAACCAAATATTGTAGATAATATATATGCAAAAATTCCAAGGTGACAAGGGGAGAACTTATGAACTTTTTTTCTCCATTTTGAAAAACTGCACACGAAAATTTCGATAAAATTTGAACATTTTAAATCACTAATAATTTAACAAAATAACGATAAATACCAGGCAGAAATTTCTAAATAATGACAAGGAGATTCGACTGCATAAAAAAAAAATACTTTTTCTAAAAAAAAAAAAAAAAAAAAGGGAAATTCTTTGCAAAGGATATGTTTGGCCTCATAAATTTTTTGAAATTTGTGAGTGTGCAAGGTATTTATCCTCCATAACTTTATCAAAAATTCTGTTCCAGGGAGTATTTTATTTCGTGAAATGCTGTAAATTTTTGCATTCCTTATACTTGGTTAAAGTTTGATTTGTTTCATTTGCTTTTCGACTTTTTGCCAAATTTTCAAAAATTCCATCTCCACTATGTATTGACTCGATTTTTGTTTATTTTGTATATTAAAATCATTCCTAATATCATTTGTTAAGCGTATTTACTCACCTAATATATACAAAATTTCAAAAGTTTTATTGATAATTAAATATACAGGACATTAAATTTATGTTAATAATTAAATTAATGAAATCTTACGTTAGTCTTAAATTAACAATATTTTAATAAATATAATTACAAATGATAATACCATTTTCTCTGACAGCATTGTACTATACTAAATGAAATTATTGAACCCTTTGCTACCGAAACTAAACAATGTTAAGATCTTTAAAATATTTTCAGTAAATTATCTTCAAAACATTCTGCAGAGAAGCTCATCTCCAAATAGGTGAAAATTAGATTAGTCTGGATTTAATAAGCTAAATTAATAAGAATAAGAACAAACAGCCCTCACAGAAAGACATTCTCCCCCGAATTGCCTCACAGCCCTCAAGAACACCTAAATGATTTGTGTGCGCTGCGTTCCGAATATCAACGTTTCCACTAATGGCTGTTGCATTATGCAATATCTCTCTCTGCATACTACACTGGAAATTAGGCGCAGTTGCAATGCCTTATGCGCATCACACTGCTGTAGTATTTGCAATGCGGCGTCATCATTAACAGAACATTAACGGATGCTTCAGATCTTGTCTTGCCATCATTACGCCTTTTGCTAAATTTTTTTCTTGCTCGTTTTAATGATGGAAGATGTTTGATGAATCCAATATTCTTCGTCTTGAGCCTTAACGCCGCGGGCTATCTTTGCTTGATTTAATCTTAAGAGACAAAAGTATCGGGGACTATTTAATTTGAAGGTAATGTTATCTTTAACATAATTTTATCATGAAGTTTTGTCTGGGCATCCATTTAGTATCTTCCGTTGAAACGTTATGTGCACTTGAGTCAGTCAAGTTTATCTAAAAGTCTGTCTTCACTTGTAAAGGTTTTCATACATATGATTTTCATTTTTTTTCATTCCCCCTTAAATTGCGATTAACACCTGCTGTTGGGTTTCTTTCAGATATAAGTTAAAATTACTGTCATGAAAAAAAAAAATCGCAAGGAAAGTAATGATACTTTTAGTATAAACATACTTATGATGACTTAATAAAAATGTTTTTATACGTGGTTTGGTTTAATTTTATATGTGTTTTTGTATTTCATTGAATTTATTTTTACATAGCAAATATTAGTTCTACATAGCAAAAGTTTTTAATTATTAGAGTACTTTAAATTTTTTTTCTAGTTTAAATAAAATCCAATTCAGTTGGAAAAATATGCTTTTAATTTAATGAAAAGTAACGAAAGATTCCTAGTTAAAAAGAGAAGCGAAACTTTATAAAATTAAGCTCTATATGTTGGAGAACAAATATTGTTTGTTTTTCATGTTAAAGTTTGCCAACATTTATAATACGTCAGTTTATGCACTAGATTTTGTTTCGCATTTTGGAACGTAAAAGTATAGATATTTCAAGATAGATTTATAGATTAAATATAGATATCTGAAGTTTAAAATCTAATAAAGGACGGATCATAATATAACTTTATTCAAAATTAAAAGAGTTTTAAGAGACTTAATCCAATGAGAGTTTATTCAAATGAGAGTTTAGTCCAGGGGTGACCAACCCTAATGATCTTGCAGGCCACTTTGGAAATGCATCATAACTCTGCGAGCCGCATATAAAATTATATATCCCCCTATTAGATTTAGACCCACTATAGACATTTTTATATTCATATTACAACCTGTTATATTAGACGTTCCAAGATACGCGCGCATCCTGATTTCGTAGAATATAATTTAATTATTCTGCGAACTCATGAATAAAACCGGCAATATCTGTCCTATATTCGCAAGAATATTATTTTAAAATCAAAATTAATTTTTTCTCATTTCGAAGGTTAATTTTTCAATATATATATATTTTTTAATACATTGGTTTTCACTACTTTGGCCATTATAAAATAAATATATGTTGTAAAAGTGTGATAAATCTCACGGGCCGGAAAAATTTTCAAGGAGGGCCGCAGATTGGTCACCCCTTGTTTAGTCCAACAATTTGTCACAATATATATCTTTAACTTTACAACAAAACGTATTTCAAGCAAAACATAATTTATCTTATTAATTAAATTTACCTCTTTGTGAAATAATATTTCATAGCATTTAGTAGCTTATAAAAAAAGAATTAACTAATGTTCATCTTTAATGCTCCAAATTTTTAAGAGAAAGTTTTACAGTATATTTCATTCTTCGCCATTTTGTCACTTTATTTAAATTCAATTTTTATTTTCAATTGTTCGAACAATTCAAATTGGAAAAGTTTGGCATTAAATAAGTGTAATTATGTGGGATAGAGAACGCATTTGGTATTTCATATTGTGGAAAAAAATTTCTCTACAGAAAATAAAAATTTGAAATTTAACATTTTATTTAATGAAATTTAACCTTTATTCTTTTAAATTATTATTTAAAGTACAGAAATTAGTGGTTAAAATATTTCATTTTTGCATTAAATTTTCCTTTTAAATCTATAAATAGTATTTATTGATCAAAACCCACAAAATTTCTTTTTTTTTTGCTTTGGATTAGTTATTGTAATGGTTATGCAATTATAAACCAATCCCATTCGATTTGTGTAAAATATTGAATAAAAGCTTTCAGGCACAAAACAATAAGGAACTTTACTGTCAATCATGATGAATAAAATATATTCTCAGATGCAAAATTAAGAAATAAAACGGAATGCAGCTATTCTTTTCGCAATTTGAACAGAATAAAAAAACAATAAATAAAAAAATTAAAAAAAAACTAAATGTCAGGAACGTGTTTCTATAAAACAATAGTTTGGTACGAAAGATGACGCTGCTGAATAAATAGCAAAAATCTTACTAAAATGTTTCAGCGAATCACGCTCTAGCCATAAAAATACGAGCCAATTTCATAAAACATTCCTATTATTTTGTCTTTGAAATAAAAAAGAAAAAAAAAAAAATTCACGTGTCGGTAGAGCTACATCAAAAAGCGCCGTTCGCGCACGATCATTTCGAACATAATTTGAATGGATCAATATACAGCTGACCAATGGCATTCTCATGTATTTGAATAAAAGGCGTGGCTTGTTCAGTGAAGTGTCGAACTACGTTTTTCAATGCAATTCGTGTTTTCTGAGAAATGGTTGAGCCAAAACAATTTCCTATCGCTTGGATCGTGCCTTCCTCTCTTTAGATGCACATCCTGCACGTACGATTATATCAGTCGCCTCTCTCTTTTTAGTGGACCAGTTTGATAATCCGTCACAGCGCCACCTGGTGGTTACCTTTTTAAGTATTTTTTGGGGATTTTTTTTTATATGCGTGTTCTTAAAATAACTGAAGGAGTGAGAAGGAATAAAATTGTGATTTTAATCGAGTTATTTTAGTTTGGGGATTTTTAAATGAATAAATTTTGTTTAGAAAAATTATGGTGGTGAAATCTCATAAAGTGACATTTATTAGAATAGAAGATGCCAAAAAGATTGTCTAAAAGCTTATTATTATTATTTTGCTTAAGCTAAAATATTTCTGTAATTTTAAGTAATTCTTATTAAAAATTAATTACAAAGGAATTGGAAACTGAACTCCTACATGCTTTGACCTAATTTAGAAAAAAATAATGAATTAATTATTTTTTAATTTTTATAAGTTGCTCTTAAAAATGCGTTTTATTTTTTAAAAATTTAGATCTTATTTTGTTTTCGTGAACTAAAATTGCTTTTTCTTTTATTAGTTAAAGCACACGTATACAATATGAATTCTTTTTCAATTTTACTGATTAATTGAATCTCTACAATTTTCATTGCAATGACATACAAATACATTAAAAAATACTATAAAATGTTGCTGATATATATATATATATATATATATATATATGTTGTTGTTGTTTCTTATCCCACTTGGCTGGCCAAGCCCACGAGCCCATACGTACTCATGGTTGAAGGGGAAGGAAGCAGCTTCTGTTGCGATGGAGCATCCGTAGGTAGAAGCCTGACTTTTGCTGCGTGACGCTCTTACAGTCATAGGAGACCGGGACCTACGGGTTAAAGTGGATTCCGAACCACTACAAACATCCATGGCACCGCCGGGATTCGAACCCGAAACCTGTGGCACCGAGCGCCAGAGCGCTAGACACTCGGCCATTCAGGTCCCAAATTTGCCAACGGCACGCGGTGTTCCCAGGTGGTGACCCACCCAAGTACTGGCTGCGCCCAATGATACTTGACTTCGGTGATATATATATATATATATATATATACATACAACAAAGAACGAAATGAAATTAGACAATAACAATCTGAAATACCACAACCCAAAATGTGTTATTTCAGATTGTGTTTCAATTGAATGTGTTATATCTGTGATGCCATAGATTCAATTTAACTACCTTACATTTCAATTTAATTACACATTCAATTTAATATGCATTTAAAACTCATAGCATCTGAAATTTGTTACATTCAAAACTAACAATAAACATTTTAAGTTAGAAAATAAAAATTTTAATCTCACTTTTAATTACTTCTGTACAATTTTATATAACAAGTTATAGATGCTAATATTTTGTGTTGATAATTTTTAAGCTATCAAATTATAGTGTTTTCTAAAAAAAATAATTTTTTATAACAACGTTGTTCTAATTAAATGACTGACAATTTAAAGATGAAATGAAATTAGAAAGATTAAAATACATTACAAATTTTTTTATTAGAAATTTTATGTATTATTGACATTTTGCGCAGACTAAATAATACAAGTATTGCTATGAAGAATAAAAATAATGATAATAGATCTCATTAACAAAGAATCATGGATGTTTGTTAGTGGTTCACAATCCACTGTAAACTGTGGGTCCCGGTCTGTTTAGCCCTTGTATGCACAAAATGACCGTAGTGTGACAAAACCATTAACAAAATATTTTAAAACAATTTTTCAAACTCGAAATTAATGGTTTTATTTAATTTTTATTTTAATGTTAAAGATTGTAATGCTTATATAGGTTATTGAACATAATATTATAATGTAATATACTTTAATATATGAATGTAATATATTTATATAATGGTCTTATTGTTCTAACTATTTTTTACTATATTTAATAAAAGTATTTCCTCGTTATTTTAAATCATAATTTCAAAATCTGAGAGAAAACAAAAAGTTTTGATATATTCACAAGTAAAGTGAATAATTTGCATTTATTTTTAAAATATTATTCTGCTTATATAGCTGAAAATTTTTCGAAAAGGCATCTATAAAATTTTTAATAATGTTATATTAAAATAAAAGATTGATACCAAATAAACTAAATTTCCCTTTTTGATCCTATAGATACTATCACAAATTCATATTTGTATAAAAATGTGAACATATCTAAAAAGTAAACTTATTTCATGCTATAAATACACTGAAAGAATGTAATATTTATTAATTACTATACATTATTTTAAAAAAATAATTTTTTATTATAACAAAGCTCATTTTGCTTTTCCAAATAAATTTCAATGATAATAACATAACAAGTTTTTTAAAAATTGGATTATACAATCTTATTAATAACTAAATGATCAAGAAAGATAAGAATGTTGAACCGTTTACTCTTTTCTTAAATAAACATTATCTAATATTTATTTATTTATTTATTTAATGCTACGCTGTAGCATGGAAAACAGCTCGATATATGTCGTCTAGAATAAATCCTGAAAGAAATTTAACATCTCAAAATCCTTATCTTAATTAAAATTTAACACAAGTGTATCTGCAATATATTTGTTGAGTTAAATTAAATGCATTAATAAAACTATAAGATTTTACGATTATACTTTAAAATGCGTTTAGGTAAAATTATTAAAAACTGATGCATAAATTTCATACCTCTATTTAAATAGTCTGCAAATAATGACAAATAAATATTTGATGTTTGGAGATTTTATTAAAAATGAAAGGCAATTATTTGAATTTATAATAAATTGTAGGCCGCTTTATTTTAGATATTTTTAAAGAATTATTTGAAAATTTTATTTTATAAATTTTCTCATTGATTCGTTGAACGAAAAATTTACCCTCTCCTATTCATGAATCAATTTCAGCTAACTGTGATAATTTCCTCTAATTGATTGTAAATCAGAAATCATGACAAATGCTTCAGAAACCATCAAAATTATTAAAAGGGGTGTATAAATTTCATACTTAATAGAAGTATGAAATTTATACATCACTTTTTAATAATTTTGATGGTTTCTGAAGCTTAATCAATAATAAGGAAAAAATGACGAATAAATGTTTGATTGGTGTAGATATTAATAAAAATGAAATGCAATTATTGAAATGAATAATTTGTAACCGTTAATATTTTAGACATTTTTTTATATTTGAAAACTTTATTTTACAAATTTTCTCGGGGATATGTTAAATAAAAATTTTGCCTCACCTTCATTCATGAATCTGAATTGTAGCAAACTGTGATGATTTCCTCTAATTGATTGTAAAACAAAAATCACGACAGATGCTTCAGAAACCATCAAAATTATTAAAAAGAAATTATTACATTTTATACTTCTATTTAAATAATCAATAATAAAAAAACAATGACTATTAAATGTTTGATTAATGTTCGATTAAATGTTTGATTGGTGTAGATATTAAAATAAATGAAATGCAATTATGGAAATTTAAAATAAATTGTAAGCCGTTATTATGTTAGGCATTTTTGGTATATTTGAAAATTTTATTTTATAAATTTTCTCAAGGATTCGTTATAAGAAAAATTTACTCTCTCCTTCATTCATGAATCTGAATTGCAACAAACTGTGATAATTTTCTCTAATTGATTGTAAATCAAAAATCACGACAGATGTTTCAGAAACCGTCAAAATTATTAAAAAGTAATGCATAAATATCATACTTCTATTTTAATAGTCTTTCAATACTACTACTATGCCACACCACATCACTGTGCCTAGAGCTGAGTTGCCGCTTTACTGTCTTTCAATAATAAGAAAATATTGACGAATATATGTTTGATTGGTGTTGACATTAATAAAAATGAAATGCAATTATTGTAATTAATAATTTGCTAGCCGTTATTATTTTAGACATTTTTTTTTAGATTTATACGAAAATTTTATTTTATAAATTTTCTCAGGGATTCGTTAGATGAAAAATTTACCCTCTCCTTCATTCTTGAATCTGAACTGCAACAAACTGTGATAATTTCCTCTAATTGATTGTAAATCAAAAAATCATGACAGATGCTTCAGAAATCAGTTGAACATCTCAGTCGTTTCTTGCTCACATCATGACACGGCGGCAATTATTATTTCAAAGAAACTGGTGAAGTATCATGTAAAACATTTTTATTTCAAGTCATACAAGTCTTGGTGACAGTTTTATCTTGGAATCATATCAATATGCGCCGTCAAAATACTAATCTATGTCAAAATTAACTGACGTAACCTAAACTTAGTCACGCAAAATTTCGCTTTAAAATATTTTTGTACAGTTATTCCTACGTTTTAGCCATCAACAACAACGGATATACACATCTTTCACAGTGTCGACAGATATTTATCGTCACTTTCTCATTTGTGTGAACATGTGGTTAATTTAAATAAAAAAATATATTGTATTGCTCAAATTTTGACACATTTGGCGGCGAACCTCTCACATTTCTGCATTGCTAAATCAGAACTGTGAAATCTTGTGCAGCTGGAATAATAACTAATAAACAGCATTTATAATTTAAAATTAGATTTTCTTATATAAAGAATAGAATAGATCGAATGTTAGATGAGATGATAGATCGAATGTTTATTGAAAACTCTTTACAAGTAAACAAAAAAAAATTCTGATTAAAATTACTGACTCTTCAATACTTTATGGTCATTTTGCTTTATATAATATATTAGTGAAATTTATTTTTTGAATAAAACAAATTTTGATATTAAAATTAGTAAGGTATTATTAACCTGTTAAAACGGTTTGTTAAAAGTGGTATAAAACGGTTTGTTGAAAGTGATCTTTCATTATTTTTTATCTTAAATTATAATTCTAAAAATTAAATTCATTGACTTACAGTTGTTTTCAAACATTATCACTTAAAATATTAATAAAATCGTCAAAAAAATCCTCAAGACTTAAAATAGTTTTTAGAATACAATTTCGTTTAAAGTACATAAATTTCATTTTGAAAAAGTTACATTTTATTTCATAAAATTAATTAACTTAATTTTATTGGACTTTCTGATTTAAAAACATATTAAATATTACTTCAAATATATTACTTTTTTATAATATATATATATATATATTACTAGTCTTAAATATATTTTTGTTCTATTTTTAATTGTAAATTGTTATAATACAAATATACTCAAATTTTAAAAATTATCTCTTAAAATTACATATTTTACTTTTCGAGACGTCTTTAGAACACTACCATGAAAAAATAATGTTTGTATTTTTGAATATTTTCTTATAGTTTCATGTTATTTTATGAATGTATTTCAAGTTTATTGTCAAATTATTTAAATTATATGATAGATAAATATTAAAAAAAATGTTCAAAAATTAGAAATATAAACATAAAACTACAAATATTAATAATTATGTAAATAATATGAGCAAAACATTTTTTCATGATCAACTCATGTTAACATTAAAAAAGACTTTATTAATTAACAGAATAATATCCTAATATGAAAATAATATTTCAACTAGAAAAATAATAATACATTCTATTTCGAAAAACTAGGACATTTTAAATAAAAACCAAAACCAGGGATTTTTTCTTAAAATTCAGAAACAGTGATTGCAAAGTCAGTAATAAAGCTAAAGACATAAAAAATTATAATAAGAAATAACAGATAATTTTTTTAGACTTTAAAGTGTTCCAACTTTTATATAAATGTTCATTAATAAAAATAAATTGACACAGATTAATTTAGATCGCTAACAATGCGATTATGAATTGTAAGAATAGGAAAGAATAATTTTTTAATATTTTTAAGTAATGAAATTATAATTTTTAAGAAAAAATACCTTTTTTATTCCATTTAATCATTTTAATGAACCTTTTCTTTACTTTTAATGTTTATAAATTTATATATCAATAGGATTGTTAAGAAACATAATAATTAAAATAGATTTTTTTATATTTTTAAATGCTTTTTGGGAATTAAATGAGTCAAGGCATGGGAAAAACATTATTTATTGGCAGGATAACACAGATTATTTCCAA